CGTCTCATACCTTGCTGCATATGGATAGTGTACCCTCATTGTGTGTACATTTCTCTGACAGGCATGTGCAGTGGCCGGTGTTGAGATTCCACGGTTCTGCTACCATGAGAGGCTGTCTGTGGCAGGCAACTGTCGCATGTGCCTGGTGGAGGTGGAAAAATCACTCAAGGTGTCCATTCATGCTCTTGTCTGTTTATTTAGCAGTCCTACAAAGTCTGAACTGAAAGTGCATATGTAATTCATCCTAGAGCTAACTGTGTACACCCCAAGCTTCATAGACTATTTACACATTGCTGCCCTTTTATTACATTTCAGTTTTTGCGTTACCCTTTCTCTTGGCAAGCCATCATCTGCCAGTTGAGATGATCCTTCCATCACTAATGTGAAAGCGAAAAATCTACCAATCTCTTTTGTAGCAATAGATGCATTGAAGGTTGGCACACACATAATCACCCATCGTTAACCCTAACACTCCTCAGTCCTCCAACAGGTGAAGGATTGAGGAGGGTTAGGGTTACACATTTATACTTGTGGGGTATTTCCTTTGTTCTCGTGAACAAAACTCCCGCACAACACGCAAAAAATGTCAAATCAACCAATTTAAACCAAATTCACTTTCCTGGGTTGAAATTTCGACCGCATGTCCCTTATATAAAAACACTTCAATTTACGACAGATTTTTACCCATAAAAAATTTCCCCTTTTTGAGTTATTTCCAAAGATCAGTTTCGTGAAATTCTTGTGGGGTACCAATTTTGGTACCCCACAAGGTAAAAACTGGCCTTGTGGGGTACTTCCCATTGTTCTGGTACCCCACAAGGCCCCATGTATAAGCGCACGGCTTTTGACATGTGCCTGCTGAGCAAAGATATTGACAAACTGAAAACCTTCCAATACAGGGCTAAGCCAGTTGAATGGCTCACAGTGTTGGTATAGCATTGCTGAGGTATCAGGTTCCAATCCCACAGCAGTCAGTTTCTTCTTTTGAACATAATATTGATAAAAACAGAACTTACGTGTAGTTAGTAGTTTTTGCATTGAAGTTATTTTGACAGTGACCCTGTTTGTGATCTGTTGTAGCCTGTAGCTGCCTGTGCCATGCCAGTCATGAAGGGATCCAGGATCAAAACAAACTCGGAAATGACCAGAAAAGCCAGGTAGGTGTAATAGTGACAACTCACCCACAGATTCTGTATCTTGATTGGCCGAGAGCTGGTCACATGGCATTTGCTATTTGTGTTATCTTGCTGTGCATGGACGAAAGCTCCTATGCCCTTAGCATTCAAACTACTATACCAAAAGCAACGATGTGCACAGTGACTGGTTTTATTTGCAGATGAATGTGGATGTAGTCATTGCTTACTCTCCCAAGTGATAGTGCTACTGAGCTGGGTTCATACATTTTGTGAAGAGGTTGTTTGAAAGATTGCCAGTGAATTTTCACGCAAATTTCTTGTTATGATACAAGTATGTTTTTGTTGTGGTTAGATGAAATCAATCAGGTACGTGGATTAAATCAAGCAGGATCTTGGCAAGAGGGATAGATAAACTGTGCAGTGGTCATTGACGAAAAGAGATTAGAAGTGGAATGTTTCTAACAGCAACATCCACCTGATGTGTTTCTCCTCTTAGGGAAGGAGTGATGGAATTCCTATTGATGAACCACCCTCTAGATTGTCCCATCTGTGATCAGGGAGGAGAGTGTGATTTGCAGGTAAATTAGCCGCCAACTTGCTAGCAAGACATGTTCCATTATAGAATTCTTTTTCTGTATCTCCTTGTTTCTTTGGTTCCTTGCAATTGCAAAGGTAATAGAATCTTGACTGAAATTTGGATCATGATTCTTACATTCTCTCCTGAGAGAGATTTGTAAATGAATGATTATTTTTTTATATTGGGAGTTTTGCCTGTCGCTGACGCATCTTCTTAGCAATGTGTATTCAGCGTTGTCTAAAGGTGTTGACAAAATTTACAAGTGTAGTTTTGGGTGGGTCTTAAACCCCGAGTCGTCTGCTTACTAGTGTAGGCATTTACCACTGGACCACCAAGTTTGCTTGAGTCGGTTTACTGGTTTGACTATGATCAGGAAAATTAAATATTTGTTTGTTTAATTGGACTTCAACAGGTTTTGATATTGGGATTTCTAATTATACAAACCAGTTCCAAGTTACTGGACCAGATGCTGTTAACCAGCTTTACAGAATTACTTTGTACTTAATATTACAGAGAAGGAAAGGTTTCAAACAGGTTTTGTGGTGAAAATTTGAAGTAAAGCTATGCAAAAAAGATGTTTGTTGCAATCTTTAGGTTAGACGCAGCTGCATTTTGCACAAGCGTGTTGTCCCTCCGTTGTTAAGTTTTTTGGGTAACTAGGTCCCCTTTGTTTCTTTGTTTTACTTCAACAGTATGCTTTGTTCTTTTATTACTCACTAATGAGCAGTGCTAACGTTCACCTGACCTATGAGACATGGGACCTGAACTCAACATTGGGCTCTGGAATTCTGATTTTGCAGCTCGGTTAATTCAAGAATGTTGAATGCATGTTTGTTTATGAAATTGTCCTTAACGGTAATTCCAGAAATTAGGGATCCAAAAGTGTGAGGGTTTCGTGTCCCTGTTACATCTGACCTTTGTTATTTGACATAAAAATATCACCAGAATTGTTTCAAACTATTACTGTTTGTTTGGCAGTTGACTTGCATTAATTCATCACTCTTGGAAATTAGAAAATGTGTTCTGAACTTACAAAATCATTTGTCAGATGTAACAGGGACATGAAAAAAATGGACCCTGAATTTCTGGAATTGCCCTTAATCAGTATGAAGCTCAAGTTGGGATTTGCCCTTTGACCTTTCAGGATCAGTCCATGGCATTCGGCAGTGATCGTAGCCGCTTCACTGACAACCAGTTCACGGGCAAGAGGGCCGTGGAGGATAAGAACATTGGGCCTCTGGTGAAGACCATCATGACGAGATGCATACACTGCACACGATGCATCAGGTAGGCTGCTGGCACTTCAGAGTTGTCACTTTCAAGTGTCAGGTTGCTACCAGAATTAACGCTTGGCACAGACAGTATCGGGAGCTAGTACCTGTTCAGAAAGATGTAACATTATTTCCCTTTGTGCCTTGGAAAGTAATTTTTTTTTTCCTGAACCAGTGAGAAACCAGTGAACCAGTGAAAACAAACAGTACCCTACACTTCCATAGAAAACTTGCTTGTAATCCCTGCTGCGGTGAAAGCACAGCATGTTATATGTGGTCCTGCTCAATTTACCTGGTTTCCTGACTCCACAGGTTTGCTAGTGAGGTTGCAGGGGTGGATGACCTGGGAACCACGGGTAGAGGAGGCGAAATGCAGGTATGTAGACTTAAGGCTGGTTCATACTCGCTGCGTATTCAATGTGTTTGTAGTGCGAAGGTCTATTTTGACGTGTCTGCAGTGTGTGAAGGCAAGCGCAGTGCGTAATGAAAATGGACGCCTTTACATGCAGTTTGTAAAAGTAATGGACAGTGTGTATGCACCTAATGTATGCGTATTCGGACAAATTGAAATGTTAAAACTTTTATCTGATACACACACACAAACGAGACTTGAGAAAAGGTGAAAGAGTGAATGTCAAATACGGTGTTCACATTACGTGCTGCATGTGTGCTAAAGCAGGGAGTTTGAACCAGCCTAGATCCTTAAGGGGAAATTTATCAATTGTTTCTTACATGTACGTATGAAAAGATAATATGCAGGGTAATAGGATGGCCGTCGTATGTTGTAGTTTTCATGCATCTCAGGCTCTTTCAGAGTTTTTTGTATAAATTTTTCCTTAGATATTTTGGTTTTTACCACTTCTGTGCCGGGGCACTTTCCAATGTTGACGATGCTGGGCCGGCATGACTATCATTTTTTCCATTTTCAAAATCCTTCAAAAATTCATCATTTCATTTAACGGTCGTTTATAGCTGCACAAAGTAATCTTCAGGTACTATTCTAAGTTGATAGGTGACCTCCATTGACGCCCGAGTATTTCAGCCAGGCC